CGGGGGTAAACAAGTTTCCCGGATATGGCGGCGGCTTATCTCTAATCCTCTCTAACGGTAAGGTCGCAAACCTCTGCTGTTCTCCACCTAAAGTCAAATTTTTATTACTTATTGATAGAAATGATAGAAAATAGAAAATTCAATTAAAATGTATTTACAATAATTTAAAAAACATTTTGTTAATAGTTTTATATCATTTATAGCTAAAAGTTAATGCAAAATATTTTTGCATTGAAATTAGTTTACTTCACGATTGCATTTAATTAATATTTCATTTATTTTTGGTTTTTTATTTTATTCCTAATGAAACAATCTTTTTGAGAATAAAACTAATCATTTAAATTACAAATGAATACAAAATTACAATTTAATTTGAAATGAAAGTTACATTAACTGTATATTACAATTGAATCAAGTGATGAAAAAGTTTGTCACAGAGTTTACAAAATTATATTCTCAAAAAATATTAATTAAATTTAGAAAAATATAAAACAAAATTATTTTTATATAAAAAAGTATAAAACTTTTTCTCGTATTTATAACTGAATTTAATTTTAGAAAAAATTATTTGAATAGTTATAATGAAATGAATGATAAAATATATGAATGTAATGCCAACTTATGAAGACTAACTTGAATATGTCTGTGGATGAGCCAGTGCTGGGTGTGAGCCCTGAGGATGAAGTGCTATTCTCTGCTGTTGTCTTTGCATTAAACGGTCTCTTTTACACAAACAAACGGCAACACAAACCACACAAACCGAACATATTATAAACACTGTTATTATTAGCCCTATAAATGTATTCGCTTCTAGTCCTAGGATTTGGCCGTCAAATACCTCCGGATCTGTTTGTTTGGAAACAATCACATCATTAGATAGGGGTTTGAAATGCTGTCAAATCTGACGGATGATATACCTGTACACGAGGCATGACTCGTCTCATCGCTATTGTCTCCGCAATGGTTAATACCATCGCATGACAGGTCTCTCGATATGCAGAACGTATTCAAGCACTTGTGATCTCTACAGTGAACCGCTTTAATCATAATAAATGGCATTTAGCTTACAATTAATTAATAAGTTGTGTACTAATTGATTGTGGGCTAACTCACGCGCTTCTTTGAAGGCAGTGATAATAAGTCGAAATCCATTCTCAGATTTACTGTAGGGATCGGTGATGTACTTGAGAGTGAGAAAACTGCCCTGGGTGAATATTGTGCCCACTTCTGTACGAGTGCTACGGCACGACAAATCGGCCTGGTGCAAATTAACAAGCAATTTGATTAATTAACAGTTTTCATTATTTGTATTGCATGACAAACTTTATGATTGCCAATAGCGTGGGCGCCGTCATAGATGTATAAGTGGTCGTCGCAGTCAAGCGCTAGCTTTTCAAAGCGAAGCATAAATCGCTGCAAAATGGTATCGGTTTGGAAAGTGATGGTACAGTCGAGGTTGTCCTCAGACTTGCTCGTTATGACAGCGCCGTCCACTTTCTTATGCAATGGATGTATACGTTCTCTCATACATAGGGCTGAGATGTGATCTGCAATCAAATCAAATATTATTTATTTTAATAAATATATATAACTGGAAAATATTATTCTTATAGAAAAAGTTAATAATAAAAAGACATAATTGAAATGAAACACAAAACACAGCGAACAGAGTGTATGGGAAAGCACTGAAAGGGCACTTCACTGCTATGTTTGAAATGAATTATCTTTAGAAAATACAATAAAATGAGAGGAAAGGGTAAATAGTATGTGAAATGAATGGACGTTTACTCACAATATCTATTTCTATCGGTTAGGACTAAACATCTGCATAGAAGCTGAAGAATTGTAAACAGAAAAGTGTATATAAACTGTTGTTTAGGGCGTAAACCGGGCAAAGATAGCGCCATTTTCTGATCGATGCCTTTATTACTGTATATTAGGGCAAATCCAGACTCTCATAGAGTAGTTCACATCCTCTATGAGATCATTGACTTATAGTCCGTCTCTCAATAGTCTGCCATTCAATCCATAATAATATTTATATTCACAGCTAATTCTCGCAGATTATTCACTAATTATTGTATTTATTTATAATGAATGAACCGAAAGATAAAATAACGCAAACATTTGAGGTTTAAAATGACAATAGGAATAACGCAACGAATTGTTTGAGCAATCCTTCAAATGTGTGTCACAGCTCTCACTCGCTCTCTCGCAACTGACTTATGCTATAAAACACATTAAATTATTGATTAGAGAGTGAGAGTGAGAGTGCATTCACTCCTTCTATGGTCAGAGCAATCGCTTTATTATACCGTAAATACACGACAACTGCTCAACACATGCACTCCGACTATCAGTTTAGATAAAACTTTGCTCAATCAACACATCATCGATGCATTCAATCACATAATTCACAATCGCATCAATTCTTGTGCACACATTTAATACACAGTCTATACTGTATTTATTGTTAAATATAACCAAGTACGATTTACTATATTAATTTACATACGCCATATTTATTATATTGCGTCAAATCAACTTTATAATGTTATTTAAATATAAAGTACATAAATACTTATGTATATAAATATTATCGCACTCGTCAGGGTGTTGGATAGTGAACAACCTTGGAAAGCTTTAATTTAAAAATATATTATATAATACTTAAAAGTAACCATTAAAGATATATTTAAAATATAAATTTTATAGATATTGACAATACATGTATTATATTTTACTTGAATTATAATACAATTCATAACTCTAGTCAAACATTTACAATAATCCTAATCATGATTGCTAGACTAAATTCTGGAGAATATTATTTATAGAAAATGCGAGCATTTAAATTGTAAATATTTTATGCAAACATTTTTTTATTGTAAATTCTGGACAGTATGCATACACTATGTACTTTAAAGTACAGTACAATGTAATAATAAGTGAAACTAAAATCATATTCTGTTGATATTTGAATGATCTTTAAATTCATGATATTTAAAAAGCTAATTATTAGAAATTTTATTCATCATATATTTATTTATTGTAAAATTAATGATCATGCTCATTTTTAATTAGTATGTGATACTTTGACTTACAAGTATAGTAATTAGTTTTTATTTTCTTTAATTATGTAATATTAATGACATTGTCGTTAGATTGGAAACAAAAAATTGTGTAAAAACAATCATTATATCAATAACAATATTCTTTAGTCTAATCAAATACAGTAACTAACTATTACTATATATAATTTTTGACATTTAAATTGTACAACGATTTGTACATCAAATTGTATGTGTATTAAAATACATTGTATACCATATAAACATTATAAAAGTGAAGCGTTTATATTATGAAATATAAATTACTAATTACATATAATATATAGTAAATTATATTGTCATTGAAATAAAATCAGATAATTTTGATATCGTTTGTTAAATAAATATAAGTATTCATAAGTTTAATGTCAATTAAAATAGATATAAAAATAGATGTAATAATAAGCTAATTATTGTTTTAGCATGTACTAATTAACGATCATTGACAATTATTATGATGAAAACAAGTTTTAGATTGATTAAATTTTGTTTAATATAATACACGGCAACAACAAAACGATCGATTTACGAACCGCATCGGAAAGCAGAACTTAATTAACTTTATTTGGCATTTATTAAACATTAACAGCAATTTATACCTAAATAAATAGTTATTTTATGCAGGGCTTAAGAATGCTATTAATAATAAACATTAATTACAACATTAATCTACATTTTATGTCATATATCACATCAAAGATATAATTAAAGCTCAAATTTACAGAAAATTAATCCCATGCCATAAAAAACAAGTTTTCGTTGGTTTTCTCATTAATCACAATAAATACCAAAATTGAAAGAATAGATGAGTTGTTGTGATCGAGAGATTCAATTGAATGGTTTTTATAGCGTTTAAAATCATTTTAACCTTAAAACCATTGTATTTATAAGAAATTTTTCCAAATAAAAGCTATCGATTGTATTCTCAACACAATTATAGGCAACATTTGGGAAAAATTAAGGTCAAATACCTAAAGACAAGTTTGAATTTCTCACACATAACTTCATAACAATTATTTCTCATAATACGGAGGATAAACCTTATAATTAAATTATCAAATATATTATGAAATAATAGCAAAGATCTGTTGAAAAGATATCCATATTTAGATGTAATGCCGATTTTATTGCTCGACATTTTACATCAATTAATACTCAAAGTCTTGTTTTTCTTCTCTTCGAGATTTAGTATTTAATAAATGATTGTTATGTTTGATAAATATAACACTCCCTGCATTTGGTCCACTTTAAGGCTACTTATGTGATTGAAACATGTAAAATGCAAAATTGTGTTTTATATTGTTGTTTCACGCCATACGTGTAGCTTAATTGTAAACATCATAACAAGTTATGTAATAATTGTGATTTTAGTCAACATAAAAGTTGTTACCAATTTGGAGATCGCCTTCACTTTTGCATTCATACACATAAGCAAACTATTCTACGGTTTATCACTATTTTTTATTAAGTTTTTTTGTAAATAAATTAAAGCAAAAGTTATGCTATTTTGCGTGGGTTTCGGAAATTAATTTTCTGTTTGAATATCATTGCTCCCAATGTTAAAAACATAAGCAAATATAGAGTTTAATTAACTTTAATTATTTGAAATAATTAGAAATTAATTCAATTTTACTCTTGTTTTCGATGTGAACTATATTTCCATAAAATAACATTTTCCCGATTAAATCATTCATACAGTACTTTCGGTTTCAATTTGTCTTATTTTATTATTTGTAATTATTATTTACATGAAACTATAAAATATTATCAAAATATATGCAAAAATTATAATAGATTTGTAAAAATATCTATTAATTAAATATTTATATCATTTTCCTGTAAAACTATTCATGCTTTAAATTTTTGAATTATTAAATTAAAAACTTGTAAATAAATTTAAAATAAACGTTTGGTTCCTATAATAAGTTTTTATTAATAACTTACAAAATGCTAAAAATGGAAATTTACATCAAATGTTAAGCTTTTTCGTGTCGAGTGAGACATAAATTATCTTAAAATATAATCAATAAAATGATATTAAAAGTAAATAACAATTAACATAAATACACGACAATATCAATTAAATGTAATTCTAACCTACATATTATGCTAATACTAAAACAATGGCTAATATTTGAAAAAATTACACAAATATATATTTAAATATACATATATTTTTATATTTGCATAACTTATAATGACTTTAATATTGCAGAAACAAAAAAACTATTAAATTATTTATTCAATAAATATCCTAAAATAGACCTAAAATAGACATTCAAACAATTAAATAGAAATTTATAAAACAATAGGCGAGTGTTTTTTGACGGGAAAATGTTTATTGAGAGCAAACAAACAAAATGAGAAACAATCATAATTTTGAGGCAAAAATCTCGTGTAATATGTGGTCGGAAGAGCACCTGTTGTTGTGAGCGCTCGACAAATGAATTTCCAATTGTAATTAATTTAAGAAAAACACGATTTTGTTGATTAAAGAGTTTATTTAATTCATGACTGATTATGCATTCAATCCATAGGTGTTTGAATGCAACAAAATTCAAGTTTTATACTAAAATATTTACATATGAATTAAAAGCCAATGAATCAATTGGCTGTAATGCCCATCATGCTATCATTCAAAGTAATTCAACCTAGCTCCATTCAATATCAATCAATGCTTTCAAACTTGATTTCCTAGGTTTTGGGCAAATATTAATCAAATCATAGGTAAACTTCCCAATAGTTTCATGACTTTTCTTATCATTTGTTTTAATATTAGAAACAAAAAAAGTTGAAACAAATAAAAGTCAATTAAATTGAATGAAAAACTGATAAATCATTAATTTTTATGGCATTGAAGAGACGTTTTTGATGTGAAGACCAGAGTTGGAGAGTTGGAGTGGGAATGCGTGGCCTGTGATTGGCTGAGAGGGCGCATAGAGACCGCCCACTCGTACTCTACTTTCAGAGAAATGCATTTGATTTGAATTTGTGTTCAAAAAACAGTTTTATTTGTGTCTCAAGTGTTGTCTCAAAGCGTGTAAAGCATTCACTACTTAAACAATTGTCTCCTTTTGTTGACCATAAATGGCATCCAATCTGACGACCGATCACTTCAGACAATTGGTCCGAACGGAGACCAATCGCATGAACGAGTCGTGCGATGAGTGGACACACATTATGGACACCGAAACGGGTATTACTGAAGAAGGTTTGTATGAGTGGTCTGTTTGTGATATACTCTTCTGACATACTGTTGTCTCTTGGGATGTGTTAGCGTTCGGTCAGATCAGGTCCACAATCGGCAAAACACACCTCTTTATAAACCAACGCTTCAAGCAATTCATTGGTCTCGTCGACGACTGTCAGTACAAGAGAGGCCCCAAAGAGACCAAAGTGGAGGACCT